AGGAGGAGGAGGAGGAGGAGGAGGAGGAGGAGATGAGCGTTAAAAGCTGAGTCGTGTCCCTGGTAAATCAATCGACCTGATGGGAAATGGTTCGAGCAGGCCACGAGCCCTGCCGAGAGCTTTTAGCTGCTTGCAGGAGTGATTGAACCTGGAGCAGCGAGGGGTTTTTTTATTTATTTTATTTTTTTTTCCTGTGCAGGGCTGGTGCTGGTCCCCAAATTGCTGCTGGGGGAGGATGCTGGGTTCCCTGAACCCCTGACAGGGAGGTGGGGACCTCTCCTGCAAGCCCTGGGATTTAGAGACTTGAATCCCAAAGGGTTTAGAGACTTGAATCCCAAATTTTTGGGGCTTTGAAAAGCCTCCGCGTCCAGACACCGCTCAAGCTGCGCAGCGATGCTCTACAGAGAATGAAACCTTTATTTCGGGGAAAATTAGATGTTTTTTGGAACTGTCTTCAGCCTGCAGAGAGGAAAGCCGGCTCAAACCCACGCTCGGGAGCTGGAGTTGGGTTTTTGCAGCAAAATCTCCCGGCGGGAAGGGCAGCTCCGTGGTCTTAGCGGGTGGATCAGGAGCTGTCTCCCCGTCTGACGGCCCCTCGCCTGGAAACTGGGTCCTGGCACATGGGTAGAGGCGATGTTGTGACTCAGAGCTCCAATCAATGTTAATTAATTCAATGATAACGAATGAGAGGGAGAAAGAGAGCGAGACAAGAAAAAATACACTGCGGGATATTAATGCACCAGGCTTGGCTTTGGGACATCTGGCTTGGGAAGTTTTGGTCCAGAGCAATTTTCTGGGAGGAGACAGCTGCAGTAGGGATGACTTCTTTCCTCTGCTCTTCATTTTTACCCTCAAAACTGCCCTGACTCTACGTCCAATTTCTCTGAGAGAATCGTTTCTTGAAGTCTCCATCTCTGGATCCTTTCTGAGGGTTTTTAGAAATGTATTTTTTTCTTTTTTCCCCGATTTACTAGTGGAAAAACATCATTTTATTTCTCCAGAGAAGGCCATTTCACGTCATAGTTACTCTGTTTTCTGCACCCTTTAAGGTTGGGGTCCCCTGGAAGCTCAGTCTCACTCTGCCTCTCCTATTTCTCCACAAACAGCCAAGGAAAGCAGCGTCTAATGCTGTGTTTAATACCTGTGTTTTTATTGCAGACACCTGCCAAGACGTCCTCTCTTCCAGTTACCCCCAGGGTGAGGTGGTCACCTTCTCCTGAGCCCCGGCTGGATGCTGGCAGCCCCTCGCCCCGGTGAGGGACGCGTGCCCCGAGGGATGCTTTCCTCAAGGTGGAGGGATGCTGTCCCTGAAGATTTTCCCAGGGGATGCTTCCCCCAAGGCCAAGGGATGCTCTCCCTGAGGCCAAGGGATGCTCTTCCCAAGGCTGAGCGACGCATTCCCCTAGGGATGCTCTCCCCAAAGCCCAGGAAGGTTCTCCGAAGCCAAGGGATGCGTTCCCCAAGGGAAATGCCCTTCCTGAGGCTAAGGGGT